GATTGTGAAAATTTTCGAGTTGGGTCGGGTTACTAATCCAAACAACTCGAACTTTTGGGTTGGGTCAAAAAAAATCCTTCAACCCAACCCAACCCAGACCACGTACACCCTTACTTTTTACCTTTTAGGAGATCATAAAGCAGTCTTAGTCCCATCCTCACTCAACGTTCTACTTTCTAATATGTCAGCATTATTGGATACAGTCACTTAAAGCAAACCTCTCAATAAGTCTTAAAGAACGAATTGTCTTAAGGTGACTTGTTTCCTCTTCTTGCTTCTTCCTTCTCGTGAGATTCTGTGTTTCCTTCTTTCTTTAGGGGCCTCAAGTGCTATCAATTTTTCGATTATTTTTTAATTCATTCCAATAAGTAGTTTTCTCTATTTTGTTGAATCAAGTCAAACATATTTTTGTATCCAAAATTTATGAGTGTGTGATCAACGTGTGCGTATTAAAATTGAGAAAATCATGACTAGATGAAACGTTGTTCATGATCTCCTTATGATAAGAGACATGGAACACCCATAGTCAAAAACCCAAAGAACGAAACAAACCCTAGACTAAAATAAGACGAACAACAACTAAAATAAGAGACATGGGTCAAATCGATTTTGTGGAGTGAATGAAGGCTTAAATTTGGATTAAAAAACGATGGTGATGAAAATCGCGCACAAGCTCCATCGAGCTATGTGATAGCTAAGTTTAGGTATATGCGAGATTAAAAGCAACGATGGTTTCAAAAGCGTCAGAGATAGGGTCCGTTGGGTAGGACCCCTAGTAGAGATATTTATTTTACCCACGAGACCGAAGACCCACCTCGAACGTGGTAGGGATCTACTTTTTAGATAGAGAATGAGGGAGGAAGTACGGAATGTTTTTTTTCCTCGCTAGACAAATGGGACCAGGACGGAATTTAAATATATAAATATATTTTCAACACATATTTAAAATTATATATATATATATATATATATATATATATATATAAAGGACATTGTCCTAGAGTGAATGCAAGGTTGAGTCTTAGTACAAATAACATGAATGCATCTATCCTTACTTTAGTCCCATGGTCGTCACTGCAACGTCGATATCATTCTTACATAGGTGTCTTACCTTTACTTGAAAAATGAGAGTAGCATGTGGTTTGGTGTTTTAAGAAATACTAAGTAACCCCACTACTGAGGTCAGAAAATCCAATCTTATGATCGTAGTTTCTATTTACGAGCAGAATTGGATGTGTAGTACTTCTCTATACATATCTCACATGTGCGCACATGGACCCTGAACAAGCTTGTAAACGTACCTCTGGACTTAGGCCTTCAACTAGCGTACATTCACGCTATTGGTATACCATGGAGGGAAGGGAGCACACATAGTATCATGTTGTACATAATACCGTATCATAATATTGTAGTGTACATATCCGTATTAATCATAGTGAGAAAGTATCCCGATGCACGTGAACATACAATATGCATGAGTCCCCATAATTTAGAATCATGACATGTAGCTGTGATGCAAGTTATATATTCGTTCATTTCATACGTAACATAATCATTTTATGTCATCTCATAATGTAGATTATAACATGGTATACACTTTCATGACATAACACAATTTTCGATGGCATAAAGTGTCAACATGATATTGCATAACGTAACATATCAAGTTTTATAACACAATATACTCGCTACACAATACTAACATAATAAACAGACATTAAACAATCATAAGGTATGACACATTCAAGGGTCATAGGGAATACGTCATTCGCGCTTCAAGCAATTCATCTAACTAGACCAATAGTGAAGTCACTTAAATGAGTAGCTTAAGTTGAAGTCACTAATTTATTGTGTAGAGCTAGTCCAAGTCAACCTATGTAAGTTCACAGCACCAAATTAGAACATGTTTAGCAACCTAATCTACCTAATAAATTAAACCTCTAATTTAGCTTACACTATTTAATTTGGGCAAATAGGGTCCTACTTGTCTCAAATTTCTTTGAAACTGCCAAATTCAAATTTAGAAGGGTACAATATGGAGGTAAAGGGCCAAAAAAAAAACAATGGAACCCGTTGAAAAAGGCTAGACCGAGCCGTTTGAGTCGCCAAAAGCCGTTGAGCCAGAACAACACTGTTGGAAGCAAGCGATTACTGAATTACAGTTAATAGTTTGTTCGGCTACACACGCTGCTCGTGCGTGCATATTCAATTGTTGTGACACAACAACGTTGTATCTCATTGTCGTCTCGGTCCGCAACTACATGATCCATACATCGTGGTTGTTGAGGTAGCAAATTTCTGTTAGTTAATTAGTGTTAAAGGGAGCAAATTTCTGTTAGTTAGTTTTCTTGTTATTAGTTAAGTCGGGTCCTTTTTCATCTTTTCTACGTCGCATTGGACTGTATGAATAAAAGATGATCATTTTTTGCACATTTGCGAAGTCTGAAATTTACAACTAACATTTGGTATCAGAGCAAGTTAGGATCCAAGAAAGTGATCCAAGAAAGAAAATGAGCAGCGACAAAACACTCACCAAGATTCCATAGTTTGATGGTCACTATGACCATTGGAGTGTACTGATAGAAAACCTCTTGCATGCCAAGGATTTGTGGAGTTTAGTGGAGAGGTTACATCGAACCGACAGAGGGAATCGAAGTGACTGCAGTGTAGAAAAGGAATCTTGATGAGTTCAAGATGAAGGATCATTAAGTGAAGCACTACCTATTCCAAGCAATTGATCGGGTTGTGTTTGAACAGATCTTGAATCGCAAAACATCCAAGAACATTTGGGATTCGATAAAGAAAAAGTTTGGAAGCAACAAAAGGGTGAAGCGGTCTCTTCTCCAATGTAATGACCCTAAATTTCCACATATCTAGAGTCGCCACTAACGTCTCATGCTCATTTATAATGCGGAAATATAACTCTTACATGAACATCATTATTACGTAAACTTCGAAAAACGTTTAAAACAACTTCTTCTCTAGAAAACACAGTCATGGTTTTACGTGTTTAAATATAAAATACTAAAATTTAGAGAAAATAAAAACAAATACAAAATAATTTAAAACAATGGAATGCAAAACAACCTATTCTAACTTAAAACTAAGAATTTAAATATGAGTCTACCCTATGCACGTGCCACAGTCTCTGCTCGCGATGCTACCGTCCTCCGTACAAGTGCGCCTTGTCTTTACCTGAAAAATGATGTGGCACACGGCCTGAGTATTTCAAAGAATACTCAGCAAGTGGCCCCACTATAGGGGCCATGCAAATGCAAACACATCATGATTTAGGGACCTATCTCTAATCATCTTAGGGGTGGCCTCCAGCCTCGGACAAATTGGATGTATAGTTCTTCCCTATACACGACTCACACGTGCGAGTGTGAATCTCCAAGGCGCTCGCACACCCCCTGGACTCTCTGGTCAAGCTAATTTGTAGCGACATCCGGAAGTCAGCGGAACCCCATAATGTCATGTGCCTCATCCTTCATTTGTGTACGTTTGCACCTGTGCGCATTCGCGCTCATCATACGGTGCGCGTCCGCACTCATCATCTCTAGGGGAAGTAGCTCTATGCTTATGAACATACAATATGCATGAGGTCCCTTTAAATCCATCATAATGTCTCTTTTGACACAACCCTCTAGTCTCATCTCTTTATTACTCTAGGTAACACATACTCGTGCATATTTATATTAATATCATTTCCACGCTCTTAGGGTTGTGTCCTATGTCGATCTAACGACATGATGCAATATGACACTTATCATCATATAACATGCTCAATATGAAAAACATCATCATATTAAGGTAAACGTCACGCAATCATCATACTCATCATATTGCCATAAAGTGCATCAAATATATCAGGTACGACATTCATTAAAATATATATACTGCGCACATCATCAAGTAAAGTAACCCACACATCATCATAACTCATATACTCCATTATCTGCCTTCCTTTGGATATCTCCCTAATTGTCTAACTATCTCTCCATCCTTATGGTCCAAAACCATCTCTCCCTTTTTTCTTCTGTTTTTGTTTTGTTTGCTGAATTATTGATATTGAGTGAGGTATTTTAGGGGAGGGGCTCAGAAATTAAAGGAGAGGTGGAAGTTTTTTTTTTCTTCTTTATTTTGTTATTTTTATTTATATATATATATATATTAAACTTTAACCGTACTTACATCCAAATTTTAAAGAAAAGATTTATGGGCGGTCTCCAACCCGATGAGAAGCAATAAGATTTATGGCTGTCTCCAACAAGATGAGAAGCAACGGAGAAGGCATGTCAGATTCGAAGATTGTTGAGAAAATACTTCAAACTCTGACTAACAAATTCACATATGTGGTGGTAGCCATCAAGGAGTCAAAAGACACAAAGAAGGTGATCAAGCTCTCAATGTCATAGATAGAGGCAGAGGATCATACAGAGGTCGAGGCAGGGGCAGAGGATGCTCATTCAACAAAGCAACAATCGAGTGTTACAACTGCCACCAACTTGGACATTTCCAATATGAATGTCCAATTAGGTACAATGGAGCACATTTTGCGGAGATCAAAGAAAAGGATGAAGTTATTATCATGACATATGTGGAGCTTCAAGACACTAAAAGAGGAGATGTGTGGTTCGTGGATTCTGGGTGTTCAAACCATATGTGTGGAGAAAGAAGTATGTTATCAAGGTTGGACACTAGCGTCACACATAATGTCAAGCTTGGGAACAATCACAAACGGATGGTTGGTGGGAAAGGAGCATTGAAAATATTAAGGGAATAAGCTATGTGCTCAACGATGTGTATTATATTCCGAAATTGAAGAACATCCTGCTTAGTGTTGGACAACTTCAAGAAAGAGTTTTAGACGTCCTATTCAAAGGAATAGATTGAAACACATGCAGCATTTTTCATCCCTCAAGAGAAAAAAATAGTAGAATCTATTATGAGTGCTAATAGGATGTTTATCCTACTGGATGAATCAAATTACAAAACAAAGGAGGAGAGATGTTTGCAGGTTGATATCTCAGACAAGGCAAAGCTGTGCACCATCGATATTGGCATCTCAGTTACAAGGGACTTCACACATTATGCAGTAAAGAGATGGTTGATGGATGTGGGTTTACCTGGAATTGAAGATGTGAAAACTATATGTGAGGCGTGTGTCAAAGGGAAACACCACCGTGTTCCATTTCCGAAACAGAGCAAGTGGAGAGCCACTGAAAGATTGCAACTTATTCACTCTGATCTCTGGTTCTATCAATCCACCATCAAACAGTCGGTGGCGCTGCTCTGCTAAACCCCCTGCCCTTCTTCAAGCAATGACGGATGAGATAAGTTCTGACTATAGCGATGCCACTAATCGGCATCCTTTGATCGTCTTGAATCAAACGAGTTCTTCCTTTAAGATCTCTGCGGATGACAGGAAGCTCCCTTTGATCGTCCTAAATCAAAACCAGGAGTGTGAATTGATGAACAGTTGGAGTTCCGCTTCTACCGAAGAGAATCCAGAAATTTTAGAATCTTTTGTCGAGAAGATGGTCATGTGCGATTCGGCTTGTGCAGCTTCTGAAAACGAAGTAAATGTGAGAAATCAGGTGTGCAAGATTCGGAATCTTGATGTGGAACTCAGAAAAGAATCTCTCAAGGTTGATGCTGCACACATTTTTAAAACGTTCGGCGACGTGGAAGATGTTAATCAAGAAGTTGCGATTGATAGAGTAGAGGAGAAAGATTTTGCAAGAAGTGTAGTGAGTTTTGATGGAAATCAAGATTGTATGAAGGAAGAACTCGTTCAAGAAGTTCGATCAATCAAGCAGTTGCTGGATAAAGAAATCGATTCTTGGAGCATCTTGGAAAAGAAAAAGAAATTACTATCGGAAGAAGATGAAATTCTGTAGAGAAAGAAAAGAATCCCTCTAGCTTAGGAGGGATCATGGATCAGAAGACTGCTGATCCAGCAAAATGATTCTAAATACATGAATTTCCTCAGACGAAGTCATTTATCTCTCAGAAATTCATTGAAGATTGAAGTAATAGACGAGACTATATTAGTTGATCTGGTTCCTGTTTCGAAGATTGGAAATGGAGAAGGGATTAGTATTGTTTGTCCAACAAGGCCAATGCAGATCAAATTGGACAAATCCCACGAACCTGATGGCATCCTTATGTCATAGAAAATATGCTGCTGAGTTAGATCGAGAGGTTTGGGATGCAAAATTACAACTCCGTTTGCAATTCGATAGTCCCTATACAGTAGATTGGCCGAGATAAGCAAATGGTGGGCAGCTTAATGTATCTCACCGCCACACGACCTGACTTGATGTTTGTAGTAAGTCTTATTAGTCGTTTTATGGCAAACCCTACTGAGTTGCACTTTGCTACTGCAAAAAGAATCCTGAAGTACCCGAAGGGAACTCTGAAATTTGGGATATGATATCAACGACGTGAAGGGAAGAGTGAACTCTTAAGCTAGACCGACAGTAACCAAAATGGACAACCAAACTTTTCTATGCACTGGTGGCTGTACTGATCGTACTACTGATGAGGCATCACGCTCCCGATGAGGCTGCCCAAGCAAGATATCAGAAGCGTGTATCGAATATCATTGATGATGTTCTTGAATGGTCTCCAAGACTTGCTCTTTCTGGGATGATGGAGAAGCAGCAAACAGTGGTCAATGCCACAGATCCGAACCCCGACGTGGCGGAGAACCAAACAGGTGATTGTACAGGTCCAGATGCTGTCCCCGACCAATCCTGAGAGCAGAAAGCAGCACCCTCCCGAGGAAGCTTCAGTTCCATACACTTTGGACACCGAAGATGGGAAGGTTTGCCGCATCGTGCACAAACCTTCCCAAGTTATAAAAAATGCAGTCAAGAGAGTAAAAGAACATAAGGGTTGGATACCATTTTCTCACAGAATTGATAAAGGAAGGTGTAATTAAATTGGTCTATTGCAGCGGAGCAGCCTGACATAATGACAAAGCCTTTAAAGATGGCATCATTTCACAGAATGTCATTTCACGAGAAGCGTCTGGGATGAGTGCTGTGAACTAAACTCTTGATCGAGTTCAGTTCAAGGAGAGAGGAAGTATTGAAGTAGCAAAGGAAGTGTTGAGGTAGCAAATGCTTTTGAGATGAGTGCTGTGAACTAAATTCTTGATCGAGCTCAGTACAAGGGAGATAGTGTCGAGTAGCAAATTTCTGTTTGGAAGTTAGTGAGTGGTGAAGTACCAAATTTCTATTAGAGTCCCTTTTCGTCTTTTCTACGTTTCATGTATTTTTTATAAAAGGCATTGAACCCTATGAATAAAAATGATCATTTTTTATACATTTGAGTCTCTTAAATTTATAGCTAACAGTGGTGTCATCCCATCTCTCTAAATACAACGACCATCTTAATCTACTTGGACACATTCATTAGAAATTGACTCATGTGTCAATCATCTCATCGAAATATCCCGAATATCCATCCATCCAGATTCACTAGAGCAACGGAGAGTGCATAATCCTAGAAATGTACTTACGAGTATTGTGTGCCAAAGGACTTATTCGGCCTTAGAAATGTACTTGTGTGGGAGAAGAAGCCCACTTAAAAAGGCCAATATCTATGCGTTGAAGGAGGGGCAATTACGACTTTTCACATTCCCGTTACCCCCCTCTCAAGAACTCCATCACTCTAATGGCGTCCGTTCAATTTCTCTCACTTCAAATTTAGCTATGCAACACACAAACACACAGAAAGATTTTTGAGATTTCCCTTCCACCACCTGCCTGATTGTCTCCCAATATAATTCTAAGAACTCCACCGCTAACTCCGCCTTGCCTCTCGTTTCTGCTCTCACCGGAGAAGTTACAGAAAACCTGCTTTCCGTCTTGCCCTTACTATCCTCGTCCGCCGTGGCCCTGCTGGAAACAGGTTATTCTTCTTCTTTACTCTATGGTTTTTGTTATTTTTCTGCCTTTTACACCTCGGTTCTGGTTGTTTTCCTGTTCATCATTTCCTGATTTCCGTACATTTCTATTTTGATTTGTTATGTTCTGTTCTTCTCTTCATTATACAGTTGCGTACGCGGTTTCTTCATTGATCGAGTTGTGCGAAGACTGAATCCGAGAATGACTGCGGAGGTTTCTCAGTCGAATGGAGTTGTCTCGAATTGCGACTTGGACCTTAATTCTAACCCTAAATCTGGCGCCGCCAAGAAGTCGCGGGAAAGCGAACGACGTCGTCGTCGGCGAAAGCAGAAGAAGAACCAGAAGACTTCTAAGGTGGAGGCTACTGCTGGAGAGGATAGTGACGCTTCTGGCGACGATACGAAGGAGAACGATAATCCACTGCAGGTTTATTTATTTATTTAAATTTTTAGTTTTATTTTAGGTTGTTCGTTCACCTAAGAAAAAAGGAGTTAAGAATGTTGATTGTTGGACAGCGAGAACATTCACGGTTCAATTCCCTCTTCCTTTTTGCTTCGTGCTATATAGTTAAATTAATTGCTTGATGTTAATGAGCCATTCAAAATGCATTTATTTCTTTTTGAATTTATAGGTTGTTGAGAAAGTAGAAATCGAATATGTACCTGACAAGGCCGAACTGGATGATAGCTTGGATGAAGAATTTAGAAAAGTTTTTGAGAAATTCAGTTTCAGTGAGATAGCTGGTACTGAGGTAAGTTTAAACTTACCATTGTAAGTGTGCTTATCAGTTCCATCCCTTCAGTCATGATCAATCCTATGAACTTTCTGCTTTCTAATTCTATATAGGAGAATGAAAACAAAGACGAGTCTGCCCAAAATGCAGCATCTAAGAAGTCAGACTCCGATTCTGATGATGAAGAACTTGATAACCAACAAAAGGAAAAAGGCTTGTCAAACAAGAAAAAGAAGGTGCTAGAGCCTTGCTATTATCTTATCATTTATGTAGAAAAGTCGGCATTGGTTATTGCTTGTCATAGTGATCTGAAAGTAAATGATTTTTGTCACTTTCAGCTGCAACGGCGTATGAAGATTGCAGAGCTGAAGCAGATTTGTTTGAGACCTGATGTTGTTGAGGTAGAAAGGGAGCATTTCATACTGTATTGCATGTATCTAATACCTTAAAACATCATCATAAAAGTCTGAAACCGGAGTGTCAGGTTGCATTTTCTGGTTATGATGTTCTTGTGTGCTTGTCTGTTTACTGTTCAGATCTGGGACGCAACTGCAGCTGATCCGAAGTTACTTGTTTATCTAAAATCTTATCGCAACACCGTTCCTGTGCCAAGGCATTGGTGTCAAAAGCGGAAATTTTTACAGGTTAGTAATTCTGCTGATATTAAATTTACAACTATATACATCTATGCACAATTGATGGGTATATTCAACATGCGGAAATGAAAGAGTTGAGTGAGGGAAGATCGTGTTGATAAGGTTTCTCTTATATATACATATCTGGTTCTTGCAGGGGTGTGGCTGTGACATTTTTCGAGCTGGAACTTGTAGGTGTTTGCTAAGAGCACCCTTGGATTATTTATATTTTAGTATATTTGGTGGTGTGGGCTGGGATGTGAATAATTTTAAGTTGCATTGATGGGCAATTTTGTACCCATGATTTTTCCCCTTATATATATCTACTTTGATATAAAAAATCAGTCTGTTTTGAAATGTTAGACGCCCTTTTCATTAATAATGATCCTGCCAATCTATGATTCTATTTATGAATTAATATCTTAATTTGGATTGTATCTTAGTAGCAGTTGGATTTCTTTTGTAGGGGAAGCGTGGTATTGAAAAACAACCATTCCAACTTCCAGATTTTATTGCAGCAACAGGAATTGAAAAGATTAGACAGGTAGCTTCCACTGCAACTTTAGTTCATATTATGCTGGCAAAACCTGTTTTCAGTCTAACTGTATTTCAACACACATTCTATGTCTAATATGATGCCTGAAATTGCCAATTGTTCTTTTCCAGAAAAAGAAATTTCCAATTCTTTATTATATTTGTTATGCAGGCCTACATAGAGAAAGAGGATAGTAAAAAATTGAAGCAGAAGCAAAGAGAACGAATGCAGCCAAAGATGGGAAAGATGGATATTGATTATCAGGTTTTTACTTTTTTTCTTTGATGTATTTGACTAGTAACATCTAGATTTATGTCTGCTTCTAGATGTCTTCGTTGTCATGCCCCAAATGTGAATATTCTAACTAATTAGATTGGCTCATGTTAGGTTCTTCATGATGCTTTTTTTAAGTACCAAACAAAGCCAAAGCTGACAACTCTTGGAGATCTGTACTATGAAGGGAAAGAATTCGAGGTAATTAGGCTATTACCATTATTTTTCAACAATACTCTTTGGTCTCTAGGAACCAGTGCATCTGGTTATATTTCATGTGTTAGGATATGATTGGCTAATGTGCATTTTAAGTTCATAAATAAGGAGCTGGTAGTGACTGCTGCTTGTATACAGATATTGTGTAGTTAATGAGTTGGAATTTTTTTTCTTACTTATTTCTTCCTTGGCATATAGGTTAAGTTAAGGGAGATGAAACCAGGCATGCTGTCGCATGAATTGAAAGAAGCGCTTGGCATGCCAGATGGCGCTCCTCCTCCATGGCTCATCAACATGCAGGTTCAGCAATTAAACTTATTGTCAAACTGAAATCTGACCTCGTGTTTTCTTAAAGCTGTTTTTATTTGTGATCATAATTTTCTTTTGATTTTCTCCATAGAGATATGGTCCACCTCCATCCTATCCAGATCTAAAAATTCCAGGACTCAATGCTCCCATTCCACCTGGAGCTAGCTTTGGCTATCATCCTGGTGGCTGGGGCAAGCCTCCTGTAGATGAAGTAAGTATTTGACTTGTCATTTTTTTTTTCAGTTTAATGCCCATCAGATAAATCTTACCATTGTTCTTTCTGTTTTCATGGATAGTATGGTCGTCCGCTGTATGGAGATGTTTTTGGTGTTCAGCAGCAAGAACAAGCTAACTATGAGGTATCTTATTTATTTATTTTCAACAAAAGATTTTTCTTTTGATTTAGAAGGAAAATCCATGAAAAGTAGAACTAAGTATCCAACATTTAGGTTTTTATAAGACTTGCTCAAACTGTCCCTTGGAGGACATCCGATAAATTTGGATTGATATAAGACCCGCTCAAACTAGAGCTATGGAAAAGGGGTAGAATTACAGATATAAATGGTGAACATCAATTTGGAGATGTAAATTTACCATATCCAATATTTGTTCTTAATCACTCTATGTTTGAGATACATCGTTGCTGAAACCCTTTTCGACTCCAGTATGGATTCTCTTTTATGCCAATTCCTTACTGTTTTGCACTGAGATTTTGAGACATTCTTTTATACCAAGTTTCTCTTAAGAAAAAGGTTTCGATAATAATGTGATTCTCTTATCCATCCCCTTTTGAGTTCTGTGTATATGTCGTAGCTGATTGTTGATGCCTTTGACAGGAGGAACCTGTTGATAAGACCAAACATTGGGGTGATTTGGAAGAAGAGGAAGAAGAAGAGGCGGAGGAGGAGGAGGATGAGGAGGAACTTGAAGAAGAGGAAATGCAAGATGGCATTGAATCTGTGGATAGTCTATCGAGGTATGCCATTTTATACCATTGGTTTTTGTTTATAAAGACTTTTGTAATCATCTCTTATGTCTCATTTTGTCTAATTGAAGCTTGTTTTTACTGTGGTTGAGTTTTTTTCCCCTTTCTCTTTTCACTTTATTCCTCGTGTATTCTTTCATTTATTTAAAGAAAGTCTGGCTTTTTATCCCATTTTGTTTAACATTCTTATCTGAAAAGAATAAAATATTCTTGAATGTTCAAATTTCCAACATGAACACAATGAAGAAAAGTTAAAGATATGACATGTTAATTCTCCAACATCAAGACATGTTTGATCAAGTCACGTCAGTTAATAGGAATGTTTTGGATACATTTGAATGTTTTGGTTTATTTCATGCACTGTGGTAATCCTGCTGAAGGAATTGGGATTCCCATTTGGGGTAGTATGTGGTTGGTAATATGGTTTGAGGCCTCTCCTTTTCTTTTCAATAGAAACCTTATCTTTAGCTAGAATAGACTGAACTTAAAAGATTAAAACCATGTTGACTGCCCCAAAACGGTTATGTTCTGTCCCAGCCATGTCCAAGTCCAATCCAATTGCATGTTTAAACTGAATATCTAATTGATTGAATGCTTATTTAGCCTAGTCTTATATGCATCCGTTTTGAAGCATACCTTCATGGTTGTTTGTCCCTGACCTTTTAGATATCTAAACCTGAACTTTGGAGTTTGTTTATGCTTCCCTGTTCGATAATATTCTCTGGATTGATTCAGTAATGAGTTCAAATATTTTGTTTGTACTGGATTCTGAACCTCTGTGATCATCCTGTAAGCTGTTCAATAATTGACTTTTCTGTTTCATGCAGCACCCCTACTGGTGTGGAGACACCTGATGTTATTGACCTTCGGAAACAACAGAGGAAGGAACCGGACAGGCCCCTTTACCAAGTAAGTAAACAGTCTGTGAAAGTAATTTCATCAGAATTTGCCTTCTTTCTATTTTTGTTTTCCAAACTGAAATGTGATTTACCAACTGTTTGGTTCTTGAAGGTCCTAGAAGCAAAGGAAGAGAAAGTTGCTCCTGGGACTTTGCTTGGAACTACACATACGTATGCTGTTTATTTGCTTTTATCTTTTTATGATTGTTGTCTAACTTCTCTTTCTTTTTGTGCTTAAATTTGACTCTTTGATGTGTATCTCTCTCTTCAGTTATGTTATTAGTGGCGGTACTCAAGATAAGACGGGAGCCAAAAGGGTAAGCAACTTTCTATTGTTTCATGTTAATATGTAAAGGGCAATTATTCAACAAAAGTTAATCTATCTGTTCATGGCTATTTATCTTGTAGGTTGACTTGCTCAGAGGTCAAAAAACTGATAAAGTAGATGTTACTTTACGACCAGAAGAATTGGAAGCTATGGAAAATGTTCTACCTGCGAAGTATGTGATATCACCTAGATGTATAGTTTTGGCATTCATGTTATAGTATGGTTGCAGCTTCTAATTCTCTTTATTCTCTTTTCACAGGTACGAGGAGGCCAGAGAAGAGGAGAAGTTACGGAGTCAGAGGGAAGACTTCAGCGACATGGTTGCAGAGGTTTGATTTTTTTTTATTATTATTATCAAATGAATGAACCAATCAGTTCTATATTCTTTGTCTTTTGGGAAAAAGAAAAGAGGCAGAAAATTTGCTCGTACTTGAACTCGACAGCGATTTCTTTTGTTGATCATATTTTTATGGGGAAAATTTTCTTGCAGAATGAGAAGAAAAGAAAACGTAAGATGCAAGAGAAGGACGGAAAATCTAAGAAGAAGGATTTCAAGTTCTAAATCATCCTTTGTTACGGTACTCAAACCATTCTATCGAATATGACATTCATGCTCGTCATGCTTTTACTTGAAGAAGTTGGCCTTTTCTTTTGGTAGAGAGATGTTCCAATCTTGTGTAGTATCAAGTATGTGCTTATCCCATAAACTTCAGCGTTATGTGGTTCTTTCTAAAACCAGATCCTCTTCACGGGATAATCTACGTAGCTAGTTGTGTACGACTCTTCAGTGGAAGTAGTTTATCATCGTACTCAGTAGGTTTTGTATTCGTTTTTTTCGATTTCCGAGCTTAGAAATGGCTGATATGCTGTAACTTAACTGATTAACAGTAGCTGCGATGGAAGAAGAGTTGGACCATCCACAAATGAGTTCTATGCTCTGTTTTGTCATGGGCTGCTTCGCCTGTTGTACTTGAAACACCACTTGATCCATGAAAAAGCATAAAATGGTGTCAAGAGTTATGGGAGAATTTATTTCTACCCTCACGCCTTGGGAATGCATTCCCATCTCCCCTCCCTCGTTTACCCCTTTTTATTGTTTTGTAATTTATTATCAAGTATTGTATGAGACATAAATTATGGAGATACCAAACAATGGGGATGGTGGGTTTAGTAGCACTAATGAGATGGGTTTGTTTTTAGTTTTGATTATTATTGTTGTTGATAATAATCAGTTTTTCAAATTGGGGTGAGTGTTTTAGTTTCAGAATCCAGCTTTACGGTTGTTAGGCTGGAGAGACAACTGGTTATGGGCCGAACGACGCCAAGTCTTCGGGAGGCAGGCAGGGTCTCAAATTCAATGGAAGGTTAAGACTGGTCACTGACTTCTTCCCATGATATGGTCCTTCAATGCTTCCTCCTACGACTGACTATCTTTTAACTGCGGCTGATTGGTAGAGTCCTTCCATAATATTTATAGACTAAAAGCAAAGTCAAATGTCAACCCGAATGTAATCTCAACTAAAATAATGAGCTAATGGATCTTCATTTTGCCACTGAACTTCCCATGAAGATCCTATGGTATTTCAGAATTTCAGAAGCTCCTAGCATGGGTCCAAATAACCTCCAATTTATTACCACTTTCTCTAGAAATAATGCTTGCTCTCTCCACTCAAATTACATCAGTCAAAATAGGAACGAAAAAGAATTGATATCTTGGACGTGTGATGTATCAATTATCATAAAATAGGAACAAGTACCCATAGAATTCCATAGGCTTCTTTTAAGAATTCCAATTTCGAAAAAGAATTGATATCTTAGACTGTGATGTATCAATTATCATTTTAACGATCAACTTCTCCCATAATGATATCTATGCTACTTAGTATTGTCATAATATCAGCCAATTTCATTCTTTTAACTAATTGAGGAAGAATTTGTAAATTGATAAAATCCGAACGAATTTTTCATCTCCAAGGAAAACCACCCTGATCCCCTATCAAAAAAATGCCCAATTCCCTTTTTAGGTTGACTCACATAAAGTTCTTGTTTCACCAATTCAAAAGTTGACAGACTTTTTACTAATGATTCGATAGTCAAAGTCTTATGTTCTAGAGACTGTCCTCGATAAAAGATCGTATTTCTAAATTTTCATAAGGTCCCGTGGTTTGATCATCTATCCCAAAGGTTGAACTATCAAAAAATAAAAAGGATCCAGAAAATTTCAAAATAATAATTGAAATTTGCATATGGATCGTAGTTTGCAAATTTTATCAAATTTCAATTTAAAATTAGGGAGCGAATAAGTAAATACTATTTTAAAAAATAGTCATTCCAAACTACTCCCAAACCATAAAAATACACAGGCTTGTCTAGCCCAAACAGCTATAGGTAACTTACATCTTCCCAAAGAAAAAAAAGGTACCTGAACTAATCATGTCACGATTCAAAAAACTAAAATCAACCAACCAAGCCAAAACGTAAAAAAAATGAACACTCAAGACTGATGGAACTAAGTTAGCAGTAAAAAGATGTCCACATACAGCAATGGTAGATTCTTGTGCTCAAGTATTCACATCAAGCAATCGGTTCGACCGAGAGCGAGCTTTTAGGACAAAAGAGGCTTATAAATACAGCCCTCAAAACCTTTTCTTTTCCTATATAAGGTGAATTCCACCCCACCCATTTCCCCCCTCCCTCCCCAACCACCTGAATGAATATAATGAGTTACTTTTGTCACTGTGAAAGAGTTAAAGGCAGAAGACATCAGGAGAGGGGGGAAGGGTTCACCTATTTCTGACTATATTACTATCTAAAGATCATAAGCTGCGGTGTAATAAGATCGGTACGAAATACTGATCACCTAGTAGACCTTCAAATGGCATCTAGTTGAGAGAAAAAGGTTAAGAGTTATGAACCCCACCCCCACTGTTACCTACCAAACTCGCACCAGTCCCACCCCAACCTCCACCGCCACCGCCTTTACTGTCGCTCCATCCATTACCACCACCACCCCCGCTCCCACCAGGAAAGGCTTCTTTTCCAGGTGAATTTTGAGTTTTAGCTCCTGGGAAGTTGCTTAATCCATCATCCCCATCCTTTGAAGATGAATCCCATCTGGAGCCATCATAACTAGAATCTGGTCTCTCATTATTCCCTCTATTATTATTGTATGAGCCTCGACCACGCCCACGTCCACTGTATGGTCTAGGCAGACCACTTGGATGTCCATCACGACCACCGGAATTTCTGTTGTCATTTCTCCCTGCAAGCAGAATATAAAGATAAATTGGAGGGTAAAATGAAATATGAGAAGAATAAATACAATAAAATGGCATGAATTCTCTACCAGCACCCAAAACTACGCCAAAGAGAAAGCGGGAAAACAACCAAAAAAGAGCAATCTGCGACTGGAGTAAAAATCATGGCCAAACCAATCAAGAATAAGAAAAAATATTCACAAATTGCTAACTTTCAATGGTACACCACTTACAAATGTATAGAACATACAAAGGGTGGAAAGGTGAAAATGCCAAAAAGGAAGCACTCTTACAGGAGCAAACTTTAAGGAAAAAAAAAACATCAATCACGAGAAAGATGCACGCACAAACCCAATGAAGGTTTAGACCATTAGATGAGTCAATCTTACTACATAAAGATCAGATACTTAGTATCAAAATACATAATATCGATGATGGCATAATAAAAGCAGGAAAAAACATATTCATGGTCAAAATTAATGTTATGTAATCAACATTTTCTCATAAGAAGTGAAAAAGCTTAAAGCCATTTAAATCTAAACAATGTAACTCGTTAATGGTATATTTTGAATGTGTTCAGTAAACTCAACCAAACAACTTCAAAGAAGCTCTAGCTGTTGTTTTTTTCTTTTTTATTTTATTTAAGGAAACAAGCAACTAGATATAAGAGAGGAGTTTTCCCACCAAGCCAAGAAGATTACCCAAAAAAACTTAATTGGCATGGAACACAACAAATCATAGTAACAAAAACTTTTTAAAGAGAACACCAAAAAGAGGAAAACAGCCTGACTAAGCCCCAGAAAAGGAGCTCTAGTGGTTTAGAAAAAGAAATAACATTATTCAACCTGAACATTCCAAGAGCATATGTAATTTAAATGCACTTTTCAAGAGAAAAAGAAAAGAAAAAAGAATGCAACATCTTGTAGACCTCACCTGTTCTAGACCCAGGAGTAGAAGAACGATCCCTATCATATGACTGGCTTCTCCAGCTACCATCATGTGATGAACCACCCCAAGGGCTACCTGCAGATGCTGCTGAAGAGCCACCAGTTGCAGGGCTCCGCATTGGTACCATAGCAGCAACTGATCTAATTGATGGTGCTGAATCATGCTGGGGATCATCGATGTGCCTTTGAAAATAGGCCACAAGCCTATCAATATCTTCAAACATTCTTTTCCTAAATTTAAACCCCTTTGGATAGAGACCAATATACTCGTGGTGTGGATTTGTGCTTCGTATGTATGTCAAAATGAATGTACCCGGGTGTTCATGAGATATTCCAAAGCCATAAACTATTCTCATTGGATACTCTGACTTCTCAATCTTCATAAGTTCATCAACTTCTGCTTTTGTGCCCCTCCTGAACTTGCGATAACTTAGCATTGCCTTTAAGTGAGCAACTAAAGGATCAACATAGCGATCCATCACCTGCATTTTTTTTTTTTTTTTGGGGCGGCAAACAAGAGATATTCAATAGAGGCGCCATATCAAATTCAACAAACAACCAAGACATACAGTTCTGAGGATGTTTGTTAATCATATGATAGTTATTCGATAAATTTTGTTAGGAATTTCTGGGGAAAAATATCAACACAGAGAACAGGGTACCAAGAATTAATTTAAAAACCATTATCTGATACTCAAATGCAGAAGCCTAGAAATCAACGGATCCTAAGATGTCAATAAAAACTACTACAACTTATGACATGAATCACATTGAAGACCTCTATCTATGGATACCGGAACACAAGACTAACCTCGTCCAGGTCCTCAAAAGTGTCATCCCCTATTTTCAAGGTCTTCCCAATACGCAATAAGCTAGTGATGTCCTTATGCTCCTTTCCACCTTCAACTATATCCTTGTGAGCATATACCCCATCGTAAATTTTAAGTGTCAAAGTCAAAAAAGAAGGTCCACGAGAACTAGGTCGAACAATACTTTCACCAGGATCCTTGTCAGACAAGAGCTGCCATAAAGAAAAGAGTGTTAGAAAAGATTCAATAAGAGAATTAAGTGCACAAAAAGTATCATTCACGAAAAAATTAATCAATCATTTTTAAACATGCTAAATGTCGAAGGATTAGCCTTAAGTTAGGAGATATTTGTGTAATTCATGAGTTGGTATCCAAGCTGAAAAAGAATGATATCTATTACTCAACTTGAAGGGAGTGTCGAAGGATATTTATGTCGTCCAGTAAAATAAGAGAAGTAGTTGACCTCCCTATTTTATTTATTATTTAGATTTAGATACCTAATATCTAAGGATTGTTATTTATATTTATTGTTACCTAGTAACTATAGATTTATTTAGATTTATCTTAACTAAAATGAAACACTAACTCAATCAGTGAAGCCTTCATAGCCACCGATCATTTATCGTGAAGAGTTTCATTCGGAGCCTTCACAGCTGCTGACCTTCTGTGCATTACAGCAACCAATTACCGTTGCTTCCTTCTTTCAACCGAGTATCATAGTAACTCATCCAATCAAGTATCACAGTCCATCACAAGGTCACCACTGCAAGTCCACTACCGCCCACTACCGCCAATAGCCACTATATTCCACTATCACATCAGCCACCAGCATTAACCACAATACCGCCAATAATCGCAGTCCACTATTAATCGCAGACCATAATTCCAACCTTGGTACATATATTCATCGCACATATATCAATTGCAGTCCACTATTTTCATCCTTGGTCGAAATAAAATTTCCATCAGCCTCCACAAATCCACTGCTTTTCCACTTAAAAGTGAGAGAAAAGAGTCATAAAGCA